AATGTTTTACCTTTAATACATTCAAAGTAGGGTTTTCCCATAATGTACAGTATGTGATATCAGTTTTTTTTTCCTCCGATAATGAAAACCCGGTAACACAATGCCTGGGTTTTGCCAAATTTGCTTGAATCGCCTGTGGGTCCTGAGATCTTTACCTCAGATTTGGGGAAAAACGGAAATTAAGTATTTGGACAATATTGACAAAAAGCTCATATCAGACAGCCCTAATTTTAAGTGTTAAGTTAAGTTAATTGTTCTAATACACAGTTGATACACATGTAGTCATGAAGACAAAGATTTTTTTTTTTTCCACAACTGCACATTGAGCCTAAAATACCACCTCGACCACTGAGGGACGCTGTAGACTGATTGGTGTTGCCGAGGACAACGGCTGAGGTTTTAGACTTGACAAGTCACTGTCCATCAACACCTTAATGACTACAATCCACCAACTTCATGAAACTACATTTTCTGAAACACTTGCATCTGTAACAGTCCCAGAATATACAGAAAAAATATTTATGGCCATATTTAGGAATTCTGTTTAATCTGGATCAATCACGATCAACAGTCATCAAATATAATCCACAGCTGACCTGTAGTTAATCCAGGTAACAGGTCCGATCGTTTGACAGCCATAGTTCACGACAAGATAATTATGAATTACACATTAGATTTACTGGACTTAAATAATACAGAGTTAATAAATAGAAAATATAAATAATGTACTGAAATGTTGTCTCATCTTTAGAATGATCTGCTTCAACAGTTTGATCAGAAACTTTGTTCATAATTAACACTGTAACAGGTAAATTTTTTTCCTTCATTTCCTGCTGTCAGTCCTTCATATCCAGACTTACTGTGTTCACTCCTGCTTGCAGGTGTGTGTGTGTGTGTCATGTGTGTCGTCTTGTCCTTTGTCCAGTGCAGAATGTTCATCATGGACCGAGGCCGAGCTGCAGAGACATGATGATAAAGAGCCAGCAAAAAACCATGAGTCCAAAATATTTTCCTTAATGGAAACTCAGTAAAAACTCTGACAAATAATACCAGAAGTCATTAAACAACGTTCTGTCTCCATAAACTCAACCTTCATTAGTGAAATACACACCTGCTGAAACCAAACTGACCAGAACCAGAACCCTCGCCGCCTGTTTCTTCAGTCTTCCTCCAACAGCGTGTCACCTTTTTTTCTTCACCTCTTCAGAATCCCAACACTTTGTTTCTGATCCCTGGTGCCTTCACATGCAAAAATCAGAGGGATTACCCCCGGCCTTCTGTCTGTTCCCGTGCATTAAGCACCGTGTGGAGAGTGTTATAATGCAGTTAAATACATCAGGAAGCTGTGATTACATCTGAGCAGAGCCTCTGTTTTAGCCCATGATTAAAAAAACACACATTTGTCGACATTATTCTGCTTCACCTGCAGATTCATCAACAGTGAACATGAACTTCAGGAGGAAAGCAAAGCAGTCATTCCAAATATTCAAATTGTGTACACAAAGACAGCTACTGTACACAGGTTTGTTTGTTTTTTAATAATAAACTTTTTTATGTCAAGCTTTTTGTAGGAACTACAGAATTCTGCAGCAGCTCAAACAATTTTTAAAAGCAAAATAATTTTCACTGATTTAACAAGAGTTTAAAACAGCTTTAAGTCCGTTAAGCCCCACTTCCTCACAATCTCCTTGTAATCTGATTTTGCTAATTTGAGGATAACCTCCGGGGGCAGTATAAATACAACACCCTCCAGAACCGACTGTGCAGGGTTTTCTTACCGCCACCACTGACAGCTGGTTGACCTCGCACTTTGGTGACAGCTTTGAAAGGGAAAAAGAAGGCAAATAACGATGGGCTGGGACGGAGGATTTGAGCCCAATGGCACCGAGGGCAAGAACTTTTACATCCCCATGTCCAACAGGACCGGGATCGTCAGGAGCCCCTTCGAATACCCCCAGTATTATTTGGCAGATCCTATTTTCTACAAGTTGTTGGCTTTCTACATGTTCTTCCTCATCTGCACCGGAACACCCATCAACGGACTGACGTTGTTCGTCACGGCTCAGAACAAGAAACTCAGGCAACCTCTCAACTACATCCTGGTCAACCTGGCCGTGGCCGGACTCATCATGTGCGCCTTCGGATTCACCATCACCATCACCTCCGCCTTCAACGGCTACTTCGTTCTCGGAGCCACTGCCTGTGCCGTAGAGGGCTTCATGGCCACACTGGGAGGTGAGGAAGCAGACGTCCAGGCAGGTAACTCCTCCGTGTCTACAGATGAACTTTAACCTTTAACCTTTTCTCACCACAGGTGAGGTTGCTCTGTGGTCTCTGGTGGTCCTGGCTGTCGAGAGGTACATTGTCGTCTGCAAACCTATGGGAAGCTTCAAGTTCACTGGAACCCACGCAGGAGCTGGAGTCGTTTTCACCTGGATCATGGCCATGGCTTGTGCCGCGCCCCCACTGTTTGGCTGGTCCAGGTAATGATGTGAAAACCTAAGTGTTCGTCGTTTTATTTCGCTTTAATTTGAAATCCTTCCGACTGAACCGTAGATGAAGGAAGTATCTAACGTTTCTTCCTCTGTTTCTCAGATATCTCCCTGAAGGCATGCAGTGCTCCTGTGGACCTGACTACTACACTCTGGCTCCAGGCTTCAACAACGAATCATACGTCATCTACATGTTTGTCGTCCACTTCTTCCTGCCCGTCTTCATCATCTTCTTCACTTACGGAAGCCTCGTGATGACAGTCAAAGCTGTGAGTGTCGTTTTATTCCCGTCACATCGTCCTCCAGGGTAACGTGATTTTTCTTACTTCTGACCTCGTTCACTTTCCGCTCGGTTGAACTCCTCCTCAGGCTGCAGCCCAGCAGCAGGAGTCGGCCTCCACCCAGAAGGCTGAGAAGGAAGTGACACGCATGTGTGTCCTGATGGTGTTCGGCTTCCTGATCGCCTGGACTCCATATGCCACCTTCGCTGGCTGGATCTTCATGAACAAAGGTGCCGCCTTCGGGGCACTGACTGCAGCCATCCCGGCCTTCTTTGCCAAGAGCTCAGCCTTGTACAACCCAGTGATCTACGTGCTGATGAACAAACAGGTCGCTTAAAGTCAACCTTTGTTTTCTATTTTAAATGTGATGTTAAAAAAAAACAAAACAAAACCTTTTTTTTAACGTGTGATTGACTCTAAAATTTGACGTCTTTCTTTTTCAGTTCCGTAATTGTATGCTAACCACAATTGGAATGGGCGGCATGGTAGAGGATGAGACTTCAGTTTCTACAAGCAAGACAGAGGTGTCCTCTGTGTCTTAGTCAATGTCCACAGATCACTGGACACCCGTCGTCTCCACACATTATACTCAGGTTTATAAATCTCGACGTTTTGCCAAATGGAATTTGGAATTTGGTGAAAAGACTCTTGACAGACTGAAGAATTCAAGGAACTCATTCCATTCTAACAGCTCTTGTGTGAGGAAGAGAGAGAGAGAGAGAGAGAGAGAGAGAGTGAGTGAGTGAGTGCACCGCAGACAACACGGTTCTCAAAATACGGCACCCTGCAAGAAAAGCTTGAAAACCTGCTGAAATGTAAAAACACCTTCTGTCGCTAAATATGATGATCACGCATTATGTATAATACTGGTCTTACATGAATAATTATTTTTATGTATATCATGAAAAAATGTAAAAAAATAAACATGTACAGTATTGACTAGGTAATAAATGCATCTACAAAAAGAACTACACGTGTGCAATGTTTTCCTTTTGGGTTTGTTTTCAGCCTTAATCATTATTAACCAAAAATATATAGATATATCCTTTTATAAATTGCAGATTAAAAATATATATTTATTTTTTTAAGAAACTGTAATTTATTAACCAAAGTAGTTAAATCAACTGGACTGGTGATCAGTTCAGTTTAGAACTGTACTGATCGAGGATCATAATGTATTAATTTTTTATTTTTTTTATTGGTTCATTTGAAAATGTCTCATAATTTATTTTCTGACACTTGTTTTTATTTTTATTTTTTTTGCAGGGATCCCTGTTCATCTGCCGTTTGATTGAGGTTCCTTAGACACAAAAACCGTTGACAAGGCCTGGGGGTAAGTGTTCCTGCTGCTACAGAACTCTCAGTAATATGGGTGGATGACGCCCCCTGTAGTTAAATCGGTATTACAAGCTGTGTGGCATTCTGTATAATGAAAAACAAAATAATGATGATAACGCCCCTGCTGGTCAATCTGTGTCCTGAGCCGGTTCAGCCTTTTGGTACATTTAAAAAGACAGCTACTTTTTTTTTTTTTTGGTTTAATTTCAACTATTTAATTTATTTTGGTTTAATTTCAACTGTTTTTGCAGAGAAGAAAAAAACGAAACAAAAAAACTAAGAGTGAATATATAACACATGGAGCCGTTAACATGCTGCAGCAGAGCAGGGATTAATTACAGGCCTGATGGGCCGTCGTCTCTCTCGTGTAGTAACCCTTTATTTCCTGCTGTAACCTGACCTTAATTGTAAAGCTCTGGGCTCACACACTGTAATTTTCTCCAAAGCGCCTGCTCTGGACACCTGCATGCTCTTAGTGTCTCTGTCAGGGGGCGGCAGAGCTTGGCTTGAACTGTTGGACTCTGATTGGACGAGCTGCGCACAGATTTGTTTTTAGATTCCACTGTGTGGAAGCTCAGTGCTGCAGAAAGCTGCGGTGAGGTTTAGTAATCTTCCCGAGATGATGAACTGCTCATGTCTGAGAAAGTGCTTTGATAATGTTGTTTATGTTGACAGGAAAAAAGCCTTAGTGGAAAAACATTTCTGATCATTTTGTTAATGTGCCAGAGATGTTTCTGGAGAACTCTATTGATGAGTCAGTCGTTGATAAGTGTCTGAAGGCGGCACTTAGCGATTTAGAGCAAGTACTTATAGTAATTTGGCAGAATGATCATCTGGTAAACTGGTCTGCAACACACAAGTCGGGCCTAACAGAACTGGGGATCAGATCTGATTATTTGACTATCTGATGCTTGAACCCGAAAAGAAAGATAACATATTTTTCCCCCTAAAAATGAAATCTACGACTGTTATGTAGATGTAAGTCATTTCTGATTTGAAAAAAAAAACTTAAATTCACTGATTCACCACATATATATGTAGTACTAGTTTATACTTTTGAACCCCTTTATTTGAGCCTATTATTTTTTATATTCTGTTATCTGTTCATCAGTCTCACTGATGCCCTGGGGTATTTATATGCCCCCGTCCCCCCTGTTCATATTTATACTATTGTTCCAGACTGGTCCATGTATCCAGTGTTCATATTTATACTCTGGTGTTTTTGTTCCAGACTGGTCCATGTATCCAGTAAGAATAAGAAAAACTCTCAACATTTCATTTATTATTTCCTCACTTATTCATGACATGTTTAGAAAGTCAGGTCGACATGAGTACAATTAAATAATAACAATCATTTCGTACATATAATTATTACATACCGTAGTTAGAATAAGACAATGAGACCATTCTATATTTGAAAAAAACAAAAACAAAACACAATTTACTCAAAAGTACAATTTTGTTACACCATCAAGAACCAATCAAATTTAGCATGGACTAAATAATTATTTCATATTATTTAAATTAATTAATATTATATGAAATAAATGAGTAAAATGCACCTAATTTACTGGTCAACAGCAAATAAAAGTCAAATAAAGTAAATGCATGTATTTTTTTATACTATGGCAAAGACAAAAAACATTAAACAAACAAAACTTTTTTTTTAAAATAACGTTTTGTTTCAAACCAATATTGAAGAGATTTCTGACACAATACATCACATCTGGTTGACAAATATCCGCGGCCCCTGTGAAGGCCCTCTGTTCTCCGGGTCAGTCACGGCTGGTTGACCCAGATACGACTGCGGTAAACTGAAGCTAACCTGTGGCTGACCGAAACTAGCCTGTCTGTTCACCTGCTGACCGATGTCCACCTTTGACCGACGGACACTGTCTTGTCTGGAGAACTGTGGGCCGGAACCGTCGTCCGGCTGCTCGAAGCTGCTCTCGTTGTAGAGCCGCTGCCTCATGTCGCTCGAACGTTTCACAGAAGCGATCCTTGTCGGGTACCGCTGACCCGTCTTGTACCACCCTGTCTCTTTAAAGACGAACCAAATATTTCCAACCCACAGGACGACGTTGACAAAGCCGAACACCTGGAAAGAGAGCGAAGACGTTAGCAATTAGCTTCTCTTTGTTTTGTTTTTTGTTATATACTTTCAGAGCTTTTCCCGCCGAACACCAACCACTGATGTATTAAGACGTGACCAGAGAGGCTCCTGGGTAACCGAACACTTGTTCTCCTGAGCTCTGCAGGCGGAGAGCAGCAGAGCCACGTGGGTCGGGTCTGTTTCGCGCTTGATGTCGGACAGAGCTTTGGCCCAACAGCAGCTGCTGATGAGCCACACGGTGGAGAAAATCACGGTGACCACGAAATCCTGCACAAATGAGTCAGTCAGAATCTGTGGACGAAGTGGGAAAGATGGAGGAAGTCATAAAAAAACCTAACTGACCACAAATGGACCTCTGTTGTTTTTCAAGTACTTCTTCTGGTAGAACACGTAGACGACGGTTGCCAGCAGGGAGTAGAGGAAAGCGAAGACGCCCACAGCCACGAAGAACTGAGCGGCCGGGGAGAAGTCGCCGTCCAGGAAGAGAACTTCGCTTCTCTTGCCCTCACACACCATCGTCCGGAAATGCACCTGCTGTAACCTAGGTAACAAAAGAATCACACTGCCGAATGTAAACGATGAATTAATTTAAATATTACTTTTTTTTACAGGTGTTTTTAAGAGATAACGATTGAAGACTTTAAATCAAATTAAAGTAAATTAAATTTGATTTTTTTTAAAGTTTACATCCGAAACGAACAAAAACACAGCGTTGACGAATCGACTGAATTGATCATTAATGTTGCTGTTGTAACCATCTATTAAAGTTAGTGTTCTGGGGTTAAACGTTTTAAATAGAATTCTGAAAATGTAACTTACATTTACCTTTAAAACTTAGTCCAAAGATGGGGAGGAATAACAATAACAATAACAAGAAAAACAAGTGTCGCACCTGAAGGGGTAACCGAAGTCAACGTCGACGCTGAGGTTTCTCTGTTTCCGGTCTGCACAGTCCACTCTGACCTGGAGATGACCATGGTATCCTCCACATGTCGCGAAAGCACAGATGGCAAAAATCTGTGCAGACAGAGAACAGTCACAGTCTGAGTGTTTTGAATTTGTTTTGTAAGATTCCCCAACACAGCGTCAGTTATAGAAATATAATTGTCTTAATTTCATGCACAGCTGTGGAGTATTTTAAGGTGATGCTTGATATTAAAACGCAGCATTGCTAACAGGACATAATTATAACTTATATATATATAATGTATATACTTATTTGTCTCCTCCATTTTTGCCTCATTCTGCAGAAATTACAGCAACATCATCTAAGACAGATGTTAAACTTTGTCAGAATTCCAATTTGAAAATGAGAAAAAAAAATCACCAGAGGAACTGATATTCAAACTAACAAATGAAAAAAAAGTGGTTAAAAAAACACACTAGAAAAACAGAAAGGAAGGAGAACAGTCGAGATCTTACCGGTGCAAATATAACCATACACATTTAAACCCTCAGAACTCTGGTCCAAATCTTCAGGATTAGAAGCTCCGGCCGCCAGGTTTAAACACATCTGTTTCAGACGTGGAGTCAAAGGGAGTGATGGTGCTTCTGCAGAGGGTCGGACTGACGGAGGAAACCTCCTGCAGGAGGAGCCTGACCTCCTTTAGCTCACATTTCTTTAATGCAACACAACGATAACACAATCCGTTTTTCTGTGTATGTAACTCCAGCCCTAGTCCACAAGGGGGCAGAATACATAAAAAAATGGATCGTGTTGCTAAGCCAGAATCTTAAAGGGTTCGACTTTAACAGACACTTGTAAGAAATAGATTCTGTTAAATTTTTGTAGCTTTGTTCAGATAGAAACAGCTAAAATGTATAATGTGTGATTGAAGCCCACGTGACGTCATTGATGAGCTGTTAGCAAATCATTCATGGTCACAATTCATGGGTGAAATATAGTTGATTTTTTAAAAAAAACATTTTTTCTAAAAATATATGAAGTGTAAAAACACACGACACATAAACCAGTAGCATTTGATTGGTTTGTATTTGATCAATGCATATGCAGACAGTCAACTGTCAAGTGAAATGTTGATATAATACTATGTAATTTAAAATATATTCCAAGAAAACTGTACACATCTGTACACAACTGTACAGATTTTTCGATCTAATATGTACATTTATTTCCATGATCAATTGTATAGGAATAGGAAACGTGTTCAGACTGTCGGAAAAATCGAGTATGCTGCCCTCTTGTGGACACAAATTATTGATACCTTTTAGAAAAGCACAGCAACTCATTTAAAGGCAAAGAATAACATTTTTATAGATTTTTGGGATTTTAATTTTTTAAAGAAATGTATTTATATACCCATAAAAAGGAAATGCTAGCTATTTTAAGACAAGTTTATATATTTAAAAAAATACATATTTTTTACAGATTTTAAGTTTTAAAGATTTTTGGATCAGTGAAACAAAGATTTCTTTTCTAAATTTTAAGCATAGAAATACACAAATCTACATATTTTAAGGAAAGTTAGTGGATTATTTATTTATTTATTCATTTTTGTGATATACAAAAAAAATTTTGAAATTCTTTTTTGTCAAACATTTTCAACTTTAAAAATGTTCAAAACATTTAATTTTTTTTCTAAAAATGTTAAAAAAAATTTAAAAAAACGTTTTTAAAAATTAAAAAAAGAAATCTGAAAATTTTACAAATTTTTTCACAAAAAAAATGTTTTCCCCAAAAAATTTTCAGCTTTTGTCAATTCTCCAAAAAATGTTTCCCAAAACAATTTCCCCAATTGTTTTAATTTAAAAAAAAATTTAAGAAAATTCTTTTTTGGCAAATATGTGCCAAAATGTGGTTTTCTAAAAATTTTCCAGAAAAACATTTTTTTAAAACTTTTTTCAAAAAAACGTTTTAAAAATTAAAAAAAAAAATCTAAAAATTTTCAGACAATTGTTTTTGTCAAATATGTCCCAAAATGTGGTTTTCTAAAAAAATTCAAAATAATTCATTTTTTGAAAAAGTTTCCAAATTTTTTTATTAAAAATTTTTTTTTTGAAAAATGTTTTCAAATTTTTTAGAAACATTTTTTTCCTAAGAATTTTCCCAAAAAAATTTCAAAAAATGTTGAGAAAATTATTTTTTGTCAAATATGTCCCAAAATATGGTTTTGTAAAACTTTTCCAGAAAAACATTTTTTCAAACTTTTTCCCAAAAAATGTATAAAAAAAATAAAAAGTCCCAGAATTGC